ACAGGCGCCTGCCACAACGCCCGGCTATTTTTTGGTTGCAGCCGTCATTGTTGTTTGGCGGGTCCGGACTGGGGATTTGAACCCGCCACCTTAGGTGTACGTGGCTGGCGCCTTAGCCGGTTGAGCTATAGGCGCTGAGCCAGAGTTTCTTTTTTTTAATGGAAAAGATTGCTATACAGTATGCTGAAGGAGTGAACAGATAGTTGTTTATCTAACAAATATGTATCAAACCCTACTTATGTACCAGGTGTTATTCTAGGCCCTGCACTGTATAGCAGTGAACAAGATGAGCTCATTGGCCTTATGTAGAACTGGCATTTTACTTTATTTAATTTTTTTTTTTTTTTTGAGACAGAGTCTCAAGTCACTCTGGGGAGAGTGCTGTTACATCATAGCTCACAGCAATTTCCAACTTCTGGGCTCAAGCGATCCTCTTCTCTCAGTTTTTCTATTTTTAGTAGAGACAGGGTCTCACTTATGCTCAGACTGGTCTTTTTTTTCTTTTTTGAGACAGAGTCTCACTTTTTTGCCCTTGGTGGAGTGCTATGGCAGCATAGCTCGCAGCAACCTCCAGCTCTTGGGTTAGGGTGATTCTCTTGCCTCAGCCTCCCGAGTAGCTGGGACCACAGGTGCCCACCACAACGCCCAGCTATCAGGCTGGTCTTGAACTCGTGAGCTCAAGCTGTCCACCTGCCTCCACCTCCCAGAGTGTTAGGATAACAGTCATGAGCCATCTTACCCAGCCAGAACTGGCATTTTAGTAGGGAAAAAGTGAAGTATAACCTCCACATAAGTCAGCGATTGTTTTTTTCTTTTGAGACAGAGCCTCAAGCTGTCCCCCTGGGCAGAATGCCATGGCATCACAGCTCACAGCAACCTTCAACTCCTGGGCTCAAGCGAGTCTCCTGCCTCAGCCTCCCTAGTAGCTGGGACCACGGGCGCCCGCCACAACGCCTGGCTATTTTTTGGTTGCAGCCATCACCGTTGTTTTGGTGGGCCTGGGCTGGATTCAAACCCGCCACCTTAGGTGCATGTGGTTGGCGCCTCAGCCACCTGAGCCACAGGCGCCGAGCCAAGTCAGTGATTCTTAAAGTGTAATATCTAGACCAGCACATCTGCATTACCTGAAAGGATGTTAGAAAAGCAAATTCTACAGCCTCAGTCTAGACCTATTGCATCAGAAGCATTAGGAATGGAGCCTGCAATCTGGTCACTAAGTCCTAGCAGTGATTATCAATAGTAGGGAGAGTGAGCCTGAAGGTGTAGGAAGGAGAGGAGGTAATGAATCAGCACGATGAATGCACAATACCATTGCAGCCCTAGAGATAATCCATCTAATAGAAGACACCGATGCGGAAATAATAGGCAGCACAGTATGATAAGGATTCCTTAGAGTACAGAGTTGTATGGAAGCTGCGTGTCAAGCAGTAAATTCTTTGTAAGGGGTGAGAAAAGGTGGGGGTTGGGAAAGGAGGAGGTAGTTATACATGAAAGAACATTCTAGGTAGAGGGAGGAGCATGTTCAAAGGCACAAAGTGTTGCAAGTTCTTGTCATATTTGGGTAAGGGTGTACAACTGGAGCATCCAGAGTGCAAGGTGCAGGTTGTGAAGGAACTTAGGCTTTATTCTTCAGGCAGTGGGAAATCTTGACAAGAGAATCAGTAGATACTCAGCTATCACATTTGCTAGAGTATAAGATGATTCCTTGTTTTCCCAATGAAGTTCTGGGTCCCCTGTTACCTTGTTGACCTTCATCTCCAGTTATGCTCTTCCATTTATTCCCTTTGTCCTTCTCTGCCCAGCCAGGGAGTACTGGCCTCTAGTTCCTTATCTGTCTGGGGGCGTGGGCATGGGGTGTTGCCTTTCTCGGGTCCATTCTTCCCTCAGTTACACAACTGGCTTGCTTCCTTCCTTCACACATTTGCTGGAATGCCACCTTTTCACTAAGGCTGTCTCTGAGCTCCGTCTTTAAAACCGATCCTCCACATAGACATACTTTTCCTTTTCATTTGCTGCTTCATCTAACGTTACATCTGTTTATTTGGTTTATTTCCTGTCTTCACCCTTTTAGAATGTAAGGTCTAAGAAGGCACAGAATTAGGTTTTGTTTTATTTACTGCTGAATCCCTAGTATCTAGAACAGAGCCTTGCACATACTAAGTGCTGAGTATTTATTGAGAGAATGGATAGATAGTCCTTTTGCCCAGTTATCTTACCTACTTCTTTATTTTTATTTTTATTTTTTTAGAGACAGCCTCACTTTATCACCCTCAGTAGAGTGCTGGGGCGTCACAGCTCACAGCAACCTCCAGCTCCTGGGCTTAGGTGATTCTCTTGCCTCAGCCTCCCAAGTAGCTGGGACTACAGGCGCCCACCACAATGCCTGGCTATTTTTTGTTACAGTTTGGCTGGGGCTGGATTCGAACCTGCCACCCTCCGTATATGGGGCCAGTGCCCTACCCACTGAGCCATAGGCACCGCCCTTTACCTACTTCTTTTAAGTTAAAGGTAGTTGGTTACTTCTGTTTATTTTTTTCTTTCCATAATTTGAAAGATTGATTCACCAAACTACATTTATTTTCCCATGAGATGATTAATACCGCACTGAATAGTATGGTTGCAACCAAAATTATCCTAGTATTGTGCCTGGGTTGTGAGGAGGACAAAAGATAAGCCTAAAAAATCAACAGGAAAACAAACTGGGCCGGGCATGGTTGCTCACACCTGTAATCCTAACGCTCTGGGAGGCCAAGGCAGGTAGATCACCTGAACTCAGAAGTTTGAGACCAAAATGAGCAAAGCAAGACCCTGTCTGTACTAAAAAAATAGAAATACTAGCTAATTGTTGTGGTGGGTGCCTGTAGACCCAAGCTACTTGGGAAGCTAAGACATAAGAGGATTGCTTGAGACCAAGAGTTTAAGGTTGTTATGAGCTATGATACCATAGCACTCAACCCCAGGACAACTGGTGAGACTTTCTCTCAAACAACAACAACAACAAAAACCCAAAACGAAAACTGTACAGTTTCTTGGAAAATACCAAACTTAAAACAGCCCATCTAAAGTAATACCAGTATTGGTACCAAAAAGTATCCATGTGTACACGAGCTCCTATGTCAGAATGACATAGGACTGGAGCCGGGCAGAAAGATGGGTAGGTTTCGGGAAGTCAGTAAGAGAATGGAGAAAAATGCTGTTGACAGGGATAGAACCTGGACAAAATCACTAAGGTGAGGCTTAAACAGCACGCTCAAGAATCGAGTCTGCCTCTTTATTGTGAGATAAGCTAATTAGGAAAAAATGGTGTAAATTCAAGGTCTTCTGTACTAGTATCTCACATGTCAGCAAATACTTCCTGGGCACCTATGTGTCTGGATACTTTTTGAGAACAAAGCCAGAAAGTTTCCTGCCTTCTTGGAACTTACATTCTAGGGGGAGGGCACATGTTTTTAGTAGAATAGGTCCCAAGTTAATTCTTCATTATGTTAGATGATAAATGTTATGAATAAAGGAAAAGCAGAGCAGAGTGAGCAGGCCGGGGAGAGGTCGGGCTTGGCGGCAGAAGGGCACAAGAGGGCTGTGTACTGGGTGGGCTGGGTCTTCATCATGAGCTGTTTGATAACTTCTTCTTCTTTTTTTTTTTTTTTTTTGGGTAATTTTGTTCTGTAAGCTTCTATTTTCTGTTTGGCTGCATCTGCTTCTTTGCTCCCTTGTTTGCTAAACTTTGAGAATATAAAAGTTAATCTAAGCCAAGCTTCAAGGACTATCCACTTCTCAAATAGTCTTTATATTTTTATTTAGAGACAAGAGTCTCACTTTGTTGCCCCTGATAGAGTGCCGTGGATGGTGTCATAGCTTACAGCAAACTTAGGCTCTTGGGCTCAAGTGATCCTCTTGCCTTAGCCTTCTGTGTAGCTGCGACACGGGTGTTTGCCACAACACCTGGCTATTTTTAGAGACAGGGTCTTGCTGTAGCTCAGGCTGGTCTTGGACTCTTAAGCTTAGGCTTAAGCTTCAGCCATCCCAGGGTTCAGGGATGAGCCACAGTGCCCAGCCCCAAATAATCTTTAAAATGAAGTAATACTAGCCTTCTTACAAGGTGATTGTAAGGATCAAATGGTGCAAATTATGTGAGATGTCTAGTGTAATGCAGCTCACAGAGAAGGTACTTTACAAACAGTAGCTTTCCAACTCTAGTTTGAAAACATGCAGTTCGTTGATACTGTCCCACAGGTGGATTGCCTTTTCATTGATTTAAAAAAAAATGATCCCTGGGGTTTAAATCCTGTTATATTCTTATTCTCAAATATATTGGAAAAATGGATTTAAGTCGGAGGACTTGTGGGTTTGCCGTAGGCTCTGCCTGCCCATGCCGATCGACGTGGTTTACACCTGGGTGAATGGCACAGATCTTGAACTTCTGAAGGAACTACAGCAGGTCAGAGAACAAATGGAGGAGGAGCAGAAAGCAATGAGGTAAAACTGATTAAAAAAAAATACACATAGTCCTGTGAGCAGAGCTAAGTGTGTATTTGAGAAGGGTGAGTTGATTTTCACAATGCCACACAAACAAAAGTCTGCCTCTCCCATTAACACCATGATGAGATTTTGGCAGCCATCTATCTGACCTTTGTTGGTCCCTAAGGAGGATTTGGGCACTATTGTCAAATGCCAGCCTCACTTTGTTAGATGGCCATTTTATGAACGTGGTGGACTAGTGATGGCTTGGTCTTCCAGGAGCCTCAAGGTAGAGGTAGTCTTCCAGGGAAGCTCCAGGTTTCCCGGTCATTTCAAGCCCTAAGTATGAATTTTCATGAAATAATAGCTTCACAGTAAAACAGATTATTCCCTTTGAAAAACGTAATAGGCCTACAGACTTGTTTCCATTTGAAGAAGGCGGTAAGAAGTATATATTCCCTTCTCCCTCTTAGAAACAAAAGTACTATGGAATTAGAAACTCAGGCACTTTTTATTTAGTAACGTGATTTATTTATTTGTTTATTTTTTGAGACAGAGTCTCACTATGTCACCCTTGGTAGAGAGCAGTGATGTCACAGCTCACAGCAACCTCAGACTCCTGGGCTTAAGCGATTCTCTTGCCTCAGCTTCCCAAGTAGCTAGGGCTACAGGCATCCGCCACAATGCCCAGTTAATTTTTTTTTAATTATAGTTGTCATTGTTTACCTGGCCGAGGCTGGGTTCCAACCCACCAGCCTGGGTGTTATGTGGTTTGAATCCTCCACCCTTGGTATATGGGGCTGGTGCCCTACTCACTGAGCCATAGGTGCTGCCCTCCCCTCTGGTTCTTAAGGAGTATTTTCTCATTGTGAATATCGGGATGTACTCCAGTTGCTGGTTACCAGGTACCATATACTGCAGCAAATTCTCTCCATCTGTGTTAGAGGATATAAGGCCTTCTCAGTGCGTGAAAACGGCTGAGAAGTAAGTAAACTGTCTTGGTTACAGGGGAGCTACAGTGTTGTAGGTAGTATTTTATTGGAACATAATTTGTTATGCATTTTAGATATAAGCATTATAGTGCTTCCTACCAGTATGTTAGTTTCAGTGCAGTAACCAGGAAAGTCAACACTGTAAGTCCTTCTTACTCTCATTTGGTCCGGGCACTACTTCATGCATAAATAATGAACTATATTTGCTTTTCATTAGAGAAATCCTTGGGAAGAATACAACGGAACCAACTAAGAAGAGGTAAACATTTTGATTTTCTCTTACGAATAAACATTGAAGGCCTGACATGACATATCCAGACTATGACTTATTTATGTTGGGTACACAGTATTTTGTAATTTTCTCTATCGCTCATATTCAGTTATTCTGTCTGCTAGTTTTTGACTCCCAAAGTAGGTGCATCCATTAGATGGGAGATTTTGTAACACTTTTGGTGCTGGCTAACCGAAGGTTTTACATTTGGAAGGGTCAGAGCACCAGGAATTCCCCTCTCTACAGTTTCCCATTAATCTGTCTTGGTGCATTGTTCTCTTGGTCTGCTTGAATTCTAATTTATACCCAGTGTTTTCATTTGTGAAATTTATATACCATTTACTTATGGGTTCTTTATAGGTATGTATACATATATTTCTTTAAAAGCTGTAAAGTTGTATGTTTTATATTTAAGGATCTGAGAAGGGAATTTAGCCTAATTTCAAGAATCAGATATATCTATCTTGAACTGAATCACCCTTGACTACTCTGATAGGGTTTTAAAACAAGACTGTGTCACTGACAAGCAGAAACCTCTGTTAACTGACACTTCCCCACTTAATCTTTGGACTTTAAAAAACGGTTACTCACGGACAAGAGCCTGAGGAATTTCAGGATCCAGAATTTCTTTCTGAATCATCTCTTTATATAAATTGTGTAGTTTTATTTATAAATTATACTGATATTAATACTATTTTGTAAATGACTTAAATTATTTAAATCAGGTGTCCTCAAACTACAGCCCGCGGGCCACATGCAGCCTGCCTAGGTCATTTATCTGGCCTGCCGGGTGTTTTTGCTGCTGCTGCCTGTCCTGCTTAGCAGCTGACTCATCCCGGGGCCCACAGTCCGGCCCTCCAACTGTCTGAGGGACAGTGAACTGGCCCCCTGTTTAAAAAGTTTGAGGACCCCTGATTTAAATGAAAGTAATGCAACATTAAGAAAGATTGAGGAAAAAGTAAGAGAAAAAACTCACATAATTTTAAGTCAACAACTATTATATTTTATTATTAACTTGTAATGCATATTTGAATAGGTAGTTATACTGGGGGGTGCCTTTTTTTTTTTTTTAAGAGACAAGAGTCTCACTTTGTTGCCCTCCTTAGAATGAGGTGGTGTCACAGCTCATGGCAACCTCCAACTCCTGGCTTAGGTGATTTTCTTGCCTCAGCCTCCCGAAGCTGGGACTATAGGCACCCGCCACAATGCCTGGCTATCTTTTTATTGCAGTTTGGCCGGGGCTGGGTTCAAACGCGCCACCACCCTCGGTATATGGGGCTGCGCCCTACCCACTGAGCCATAGGCGCCACCCAGGGGAGTGCGGGGGTGGGGGTGTGGGGGGTGTGTGTCATTTAAGAGATCTTTTTGGAAATAGATCATTCCCCCAAAGTGTATTAATTACATGTAAAATGGATGGGCACAGCATGTCTAAGTATGCTTGACCTGTAATGGTACCTTAAATTTGACTTAAAAAAGTAGTATGTAGGGTGGCACCCCCATATACTGAGGGTGGTACAAACCTGGCCCCAGCCAAACTCAAAAAAAAGTAGTGTCTAGATAAAGTATGTATATATATTTTTTGGATCTTCTGTAGTTTATAATATGTGTGCAAGTTTTTGTATCCTGCCTTTTTTTTACTTTATATAATCATGCATATTTCTTTTTTTATTCTTTGGGATTAATTGAAGGTACAAAGGATTAAGTTACACTAATTGCATTTGTTAGGTAAATTCCCTCTTATAATTATGCCCCTCCCCCAAGAGGTGTGCCATACACTGTGACCCTCCATCCTCCTCCCTTTTCCCCCTCTCCCCACTCCCTCATTCCCCTGCCCCCCACCATGTATTAGGTCATCTACTGCCTTCATACATTTATTGCAGCTCAATTTACAGTTGCCAAAATAAGGAAACAACCTAAATGCCCACCAATCCAGGAATGGATTAATAAGCTGTGGTATATGTATACCATGGAATACTATTCAGCCAGTAAAAAGGATGGAGACTTGACATCTTTTGTATTAACCTGGATAGAAGTGGAACACATTCTTCTTAGTAGAGTCTCACAAGAATGGAGAAGCAAGAATCCAATGTAATCATACATATTGATACATTGTCTTCATGGTTTATATTTTTCAGTTTTTTTACAGTCGCATAATATTCCTTAAAGCCATCGTGCTATAATTTACTCAGTGTTGGAATTTTTGTATTTTCACTGTTGTAAATATTTTTATGATAGTTCCGTTTGAGTTTGGCATTTTCTTTGTGTGGGTTTGTTTGTTTTTCCTGTTTAGTTTTTCTCTCTCTACTTGGACTAGATTCCTGGAAGTAAGATTATCAAGGTAGAAGCATGTTTTTATGATTCTAAAAAAGTATGTATGTACACACATGTGCAATATACATCATAGTTGTAAATATTACCAAACTGCTTTCCCAAAGAGTTGGTGACATCTGCAGTGTTTGAGAGGAATATAGGCTTACTGTACTAGTGCTAACATTGAGTCATCATTTTTTGAGAAGTGGTAATTTAGTAAATAAAAGGTGAGACCTCATTGTTTTCTTTTACATTTCTTTGAATATTAGGAAAGTTCAACAATTTCATTTATTTATTTATTTGTTTATTTTTATTTTTTGAGACAGAGTCTCAAGCTGTCACCCCGGGTAGAGTGCCATGGCATCGTAGCTCACAACAACCTCCAAGTCTTAGGCTCAAGTGATCCTTTTGCCTCAGTTTTTCTGTTCTTAGTAAAAACAAGGTCTTGCTTTTGTTTAGGCTGCTCTGGAATTCTGAGCTCAAGTGATCCACCCACCTAGGCCTCCCAGAGTGCTATGATTTACAGGTGTGAGCCACCACACCTGGCCTAATTTTATATGTGTTTTTTTTTTTTTTTTAAGAGACAGAGTCTCACTTTGTCGTCCTTGGTAGAGTGCCTTGGCATCACAGCTCACAGCAATTTCCAACTCCTGGGCTTAGGTTCTCTTGCCTCAGCCTCCTGAGTAGCTGGGACTACAGGCGCCCACCACAATGCCCAGCTTTTTTTTTTTTGTTACAGTTTGGCCAGGGCTGGGTTTGAACCTGCCACCCAGTTTATGGGGCTGATGCCCTACTCACTGAGCCACAGGCGCTGCCCTATATGTTTTTTAACTAGTTATAGTTTCTACTTTGTGATTTTTTTTAACTAGTTGTTTCTACTTTGTGATTTTCTAATCATGTCTTTTGCCCATTCATTAGTTTATTTAGATGATCTGTTAATCTTGGTATTTCTCATTCAGATAGAAATATCTCATATAAATTCATATTAGAACGATGGCCTGTTTGCTTTGTTTCTGTCAATGTAGTGTCATACTTGATGTCCTTAATTGTATTCTATTGTGTTTTATTGTATTCTGCCTGGAATTGGCAAGTTGTATCTGATAATATGACACTGTATCAATAAGATCCTACCTAGTTCCTAAACTAATAATGCACTTTATTGGAATTATGAATACCCTTTAGATATGGTAATGAATTCCTTAATTTCTTATACACTTTTGAGTTAGTAAATATTTGTGCAACCTTATTATAATAATTGGATTTTGAAAACTCTGTCTTTAAGGTTGGATTGAATTTTATATCATACTTGCTAACTTGTTAAATTTCTGTATGCTTGAGATAAAATTCCTCATTTATTAAAATATTGTGGGGTTTTTTTTAGATCATAGAAAAAAAGTCTGGAAAATTTAGTAGTACCAAGAAGCTTCTCATTACTGATTGTATTTCAAGAATATAATTGTAAGCCTCTTGGTGTTTCTTTCCAGTGAGAAGCTGGAATGTTTGCTGACACACTGCATTAAGGTGCCAATGCTTATCCTGGACCCAGCCCTGCCGGCCAACATCACCCTGAAAGACCTGCCATCTCATTATCCTTCTTTTCATTCTGCTAGTGACATATTCAATGTTGCAAAACCAAAAAACCCTTCTACTAATGTCTCAGTTATTGTTTTCGACAGTACTATGGAAGGTAAGATCTTTTTATGGGTATTTTAAAATCATGTTATCTTGTAAGTCTGAATGGAATTAAAATGATTCAGTTTTAAGAAAATAACTAGTAAACTAAAAATGCAAAAAAGAGACACAGAAGAGATACCTTTGCATTTCAGCCTTAACCTTAGAAAGGGTTGTAAACTACATATACAGTCAGTAGAATCCCCATAAGTTGACCACCCAAGGTACTGTAACAAACTGATCAACATACAGAGGTGGTCAGCATAAGGAACTAGGTGTACTGTACTAATACGTAGATGTGGTGTATGTCCAGTCTATGAAAGTTACGCCACCTTAAGGAGATGGTCAACTGTGGGAGTTCTACTGTATTTTACTCTGTGGATTCATACATTACATTCTGAAATGTCTGGTCATACAGTGTTATGGACTGAATGTTTGTGTTCCCCCTAAAATTTGTATGTTGAAACCCCCCCCCCCCATGATTATACCAGTGAAGATGTTGGGAGGTGGGCCCTTTCGTAGGTGATTAGGTCATGAGGGCCCTGCTCTCATGAGTGGGATCAGTGCTTTCTCTGTTCTCCACCATATGAAATTATAAGAAGATGCCACCTGCAACCTTCACCAAAAGCTGACTGTGCTAGTACTGATCTCAGACGTTTTAAGATAAGAGTCTCGCTTTGTTGCCCTCGGTAGAGTGCTCTGGCATCACAGCTCACAGCAACCTCAACCTCTTGAACTCAAGTGATTCTCTTGCCTCTCAGCCTTCTGAGTAGCTGGGACTATAGGCGCCCGCCACAATGCCCAGCTGTTTTTTTAGAAACAGGGTCTCCCTCTTGCTCAGGCTGGTCTTGAATCTGTGAGCTCAAGCAGTCCACCCACCTTTGCCCCCCAGAGTGCTAGGATTATAGGTGTGAGCAGCTGCACCTAGCCTTGATATCAGACTTTTGGCCACCAGAACTGTGAAAAATAAATTTCTCTTGTTTATAAGGCAAAAAATGATTTGAA